CTTGATGGGCTTTCACAAAAAATAAAGGTGGGGGTCCAGTTTTACCAAAAAAAAACAGATCTGAAAAGAGTCCTACAGTCTTCATAACTTCAGGGAACTTCCATGAATCCTTTCAGGAGCAACAAGATCACTAGTAACGTATAGCATACACATGCTGTTGGTGTCTTAGTTTTGCTTTTGGGGTGTTGCGGGGGAGGGGGTCTGTCTTAACAAACATCAGATATGAAGTCTTATCTTTTTTTATTCTGCAGGTGCAATGTTAAACATTGTGCAAGATTCAGCATTTCTAGAAGCCATTGGCTGCCAGATGGAGACGGTAAGATTCTTCTCCTTTAGATGTCCTGGGGTTTTGAGAAAGGCTGCCAGATGCCCTGTTAAATTGTAGTAGATTATCCCATTAAAAAGAGTGCAAGTGATGTTATTCTTAGCTGTGAAAGAATAATCAAATAGTCTTCAGCCATTCACAGAAGCTTCTTTCTAACTTAACAGAATGATGGTGAAAATAATACCTTGAAAAGCCACAGTCGCACAAACAGTGGCATTAGCACAGCAAGTGGAGGAAGCACAGAGCCCACTACTCCTGACAGTGAGAGGCCTGCGCAAGCTCTCCTAAGGGATTATGGTAAGGACATAGATTTCTTAAGTACCAAGATATCCCACCTTGATGAATTCTACTTTTCATGTTTCTTTATGCATGTCTTCAGACACATGAAAACCAGAAGGGATTTTTAAAAGTTGATTTTGGCCGACTTGTGCTTAATATATAAACACAGAAAAGATGACTGCAATTCTTTAGTTTTATGAACTGGGGCAAAATGACAGCCATTATTATGGCTTAAATGGGAAAGAGGGGCTATGTATGAAACAGGTACCTGGGTGAGGTATATGTGAGATGAATGTCTCTGTACAGAGATGCATTACCTATAGGATTCAGTGGAGATGGGCCACCTAGTGTCATGGGAAGTTTTAAATATATTGGGTGGGGAAGGGGGCTTCAGCTTTTGCCTATTCCATTTACTGTTGCTCCAGCCCTCCCCCACTTCTGCCCCTATGCCAGGAACGACTTGAAGATGTAGAATGATGCCATTGGGTTCTGTAGGATGGTGCCATCTTCATGTCTTCCACTTAGCTGCTCCATAATTGCAGCAATTGGATCTCACTGTGGCAATGATGGAGGCTATCGCTTAACATTGTGTGTTGTGTTCCAGTTCCTTGCTTGTTTTCAGCTTTGCATTTGATATATTCGCATTTTACAAGGAGCGATATGAGTGTTAACCCCATCTGTGCCATGTGTTGCCGCTTTTCAGAGACCTTCAGGATTCTCCAAAATGTTTGTCATTCTGCCAACAGCTTGTTATTAACCAGATGAACCTGAGGTTTTTTGTGTTTCATGTGGTACTGCAAATGTGTTGAAAGAGTATGGCACCTGCCCCAGTATTTTATCTTTTTTTAGAAATGACTTGAGGAAGCGGCATAACAGTGCATAATTGTTGTCTATAGCAGTCTTGACATTTCCCCCCCCCCTGCAGCAAATAGTCTGCAGTGTCCTCCTTTTTACTTGAAATGCTCCCATTTCACATTGTTAACATGCACGTGTTTATTTGTTTGTATATTGTTTGCATTAAGATGCTGTGGTGGAAGGCCAGCCTCAAGGGCCATGCCTCTGATTCCTTTACTGCCTGGCAGAGGTCTCTCCTGTACCCATCCAAATACACAAACCCTCAGAAGCTGCTGCTACCTCTTCAGTATTTAAATAAGACATTGAGAACACCTAAAGAAGAATTTCTTTAGTTGTTAAAAGCTGCCAAACGATGCCTATTTGATACATTTTATAAAAGAGTCCAAAAAACCCTAATATTGAGAGGAGAAGGAGAAGAAGAGATTGGATTTATACCCCGCCCTTCACTTGGAGTCTCAGAGCGGTTTACAAACTCGTTTCCCTTCCCCTCCCCACAACAGACACCCTGTGAGGTGGGTGGGGCTGAGAGAACTCTGACACAAACTGCTCTTTTTCAAGAACAGCTGTGCCAGAGCTTGCAGCTGACCCAAAGTCACATCAGCAGGTGCAAGTGGAGGAGTGGGGAATCAAACCCGGTTCTCCCAGATTAGAGTCCGCACACTTAACCACTACACCAAACTGGCTCTCGTGTGTATGTATAATTGCACATAGTGCAGGTAGGCAGAGAATAAAGGCACAGTTTGATGTTCAAAAAGTAGAAGTTGCTCAGTAGGCAATTTAGAAATGTACATGGCACTTAAAATAAGTAGAGAATAAATTTTAATACTGCCTCATGCCAGGTGAATCTTTAATCAAAGCTTATTTACAAAAAGCTTATTTACAAAAAATGTTCTCAAGTCATGGCCTACATTAACCCCCCCCCCCAACTGGGAGCAGTAACGGGGATTCAGACAAGTTCACTACCACCTTCATGCATTCCTAGCAGCTAGTTTAGTCATAGCTCTGCTTAGGTCTGATCTCCCTTTGACTAGACTAGTAAGCAAGTCTTGAGAGAATGAGCTAGCTCTTTCTGTCACTGGCTACGCACTTTGTGAGTGCTGCAGATAATCTGTTTCTACCTAGACGGAGAATGGAATTTCCTTCCCGAAAAACATAAATACGCTCAACAAATCATTGCATAGACTAGGGGAGAACTTTAAAGTTTGCAGTTGAGGTTGTTGGAGCATGTGAGAAATTCTTCCTTTTTTTGGTAAGCAGGTCAAATGAGAGTGGCAATAATTACTTGTTCCTGCGTAGACTGGCAGTTAGGTAAAGCAGTATTTAAAAAATTGTGTAACCCGAGCTTACTGCTTTCACACCTTCTTCAACATTATTGCAGGGCTTTTGTGTGTGTGTGTGGGGGGGGAGAACATGTCAGAACCGAATTCCGGAACCTCTTGAACAAAATTATTTTTAAAATGTTTAGAAGTTTGTGAGTTTTCAGTATACAGATTGAAACCTTCATTTCCCTCTTGAGAGTTCCAGCACCTCTTAAAAAAAAAAGATGCCCTGAAGTTATGTAACAAATACACAGTCCTCCTTGTATGCAGAAGATTCCTTATAGTTTTTTTATGAGCCTTAAGCGGCATCTGAGCACATCAGATTTCCAGAGAGTGAGAACCTGCCCCAGCTACTTGTATACTTAACTTGCTCATGCAAGCCATTGTCCTTTCTTAATAGTAGGATAGCATAAAAAGTTTCAGCTAAAGCACTGCATAGACGACTCTTATCACAGCCAGTTCAGATATTAAGTTGAGGCATGCTTTTCCACATCATGCATTTAGAGTAGCAATGCAACAAATGGGTGGGTAATGCATATTTTGAACATTGATTCTGCTTTGGTTTGTAGTAGGTTAAATCAAGCATTTTTGGCTTTAAAGAGTTCTAAATTTTTTAAGTAATAATCCTCTTCTCCTCTGAGGCAGCTATGTTTCTCCTTGAAGACACTCACAATATAAAACATCAATAGGAAATGTGTAAACAAACTATCAACCTTTTCTTAAAAGAGTAATAAAACAGCAACAAAGGGACCAACATAAAACCTTAGTAATAAGGCACCAGCAGGGTATCTGAAGCACTTGAAAGGGTTGCTGATGCGAACAAACCTTACTTTTTTATCCTTCAAACTAGCAACAAAGGTGTTTTTATGCACCTCAGCAGGGAGCTTATTCCACAGCCTTTGGGCAGAAGGATTTTAGTGAATTAATTCTTCATCTTGTCATAGCTTAAGCCAGGGCTTTTTTTTTGTAGAAAAAGCCCAGCAGGAACTCATTAGCATAACAGGCCACGCCCAACAACAGGAACTCATTAGCATATTAGGCTACACCCCATGCCTACCCTTGGCTTGCCCGAGTGCCCCGTGGCTGCGGGAAGCCCGGGCAAGCTGGCCCTTCGACAGGCTGGGGAAGGCACGGGGAGGCATTTAAACGCCTCCCCGATCCAGGCCCCCCTGGCCCGCCCCCCTTGGAGTCACGGGGGGGGTTTTTGCTCTCCAGGCCTTCCCTCTGTGGCCACGCACATGCAGAGGTTTTGGCTGTAGTGGGCGTGGCCAACTCTGAAGCCAGCCGGAACTCCGTTCCTGTGCGTTCCTGCCCAAAAATAGCCCGGGCTTAAGCCAATATAGCTTACAACTCCTTTGTGGATGTATTTATGTGGCAGGCTCATGCGGAATAAGCCCGGCTTGATTCTGCTTTGGTTTGTAGTAGGTTAAATCAAGCATTTTTGGCTTTAGAGAGTTCTTAATTTTTAAAGTAATAATCCTCTCCTCCTCTGAGGCAGCTATGTTTCTCCTTGAAGGCACTCACAATATAAAACATCAATAGCAAATGTGTAAACAAACTATAAACCCTCTCTGAAAAGAGTAATAAAACGGCAATAAAGGGACCAACATAAAACCATAGTAGTAAGGCACCAGCAGGGTATCTGAAGCACTTGAAAGGGTTGTTGATGCAAACAAACTTTACTTTTTTATCCTTCAAACTAGCAACAAAGGTGTTTTTATGCACCTCAGCAGGGAGTTTATTCCACAGCCTTTGGGCAGAAGGATTTTAGTAAATTCTTCATCTTGTCATAGCTTAAGACAATATAGCTTACAACTGATTTGTGGATGTATTTATGTGGCATGCTCATGCGGAATAAGCCCGGGGGTACACCAGGATGCAACATGGAATTGCGAAGGGGAGTCGTGTCATATGCAGTGCACTTCAGAGCTTGGAATGCAATGGCATGGGATATCTGGGAAGAGGCGACAAGTGGCACAATTTGGGAAGACAGTCTTCAGGATAGGGTGTGATAGCAGTGGTGGCCTTGTTAGAGGGGGAGAGCCAAGTAGCGGGAGGCAAATAACTGGCAGGGATCAGGGGAAGAACAGGTCGTGGAGGGTGACTGCTTTCTGTGTGACAGAGCAGCACTTCCAAAAGGAACAGGAAAAAGCCGTCTGGATGGGGAAGTGGCAAAGAATGGGAGTCTAGAGAGGGAAGATAAGTGAATGCCGCAGTGCTGGAAAATAAGCACCCAAAGGCTGAGGAAAAGTGGGTAGCTGAAGGGTGTCATGGCCTGCACGGGTCCAGGAGGCAGGTCCGGTCCGGGGGCTGTAGCCAGAAGAGACAGGAGCTGAGTCGAGAGTCCAAGAGAATCGTCATCCGAAGCAGGAGGTCAGGAAGCCAGGAATCCAAACAAGAGTGAGGTCTGGAGGGAGGAACCAAGGGTGGGCACGATGCAGCTTATTGCTTCCGCGGAGAGCCCAACCCCAAGCGGGCGCTTTATAGGCCTCTGGCAGTGCTTCCCGTAGCGGCTTTGCCACTCCTGTCAGTACTCAGGGCTCAGCACCCACCTTCCCTGCCCCTGCGAAGCCGCTCACCCGCGGAGGTGAATCAGGTGGTCTTTCTGTTTGCAGCCGTACCTCTTTGGCTGCTGCAAGACCAGATGCAGGGCTTACTGTCTCTGGCACTGGCAGCGGCAAGCTGTCAACTCCCAAGGAGTCAGAGGGGCCAGTTTCCAGCTCTGGTGATGCTGGTGACTCCGGCTGCACTGCCAACTTGAGCAGGGGTCCTGCGCGGTCATTGTTGCCCATGACCAAGGGAAAGGGATAGTTTGAAAGAAGGAAGAATTGCTACAAGAAAGGAAGATAGAGCAGTGGCCCATCAGGTCATCTCATTTGGTAGTTAGGGCCTCGTACAGAAAGAAGATTCTGTGAAGTATGCTGGGCCCAGGTCATGAAAGGCTTTAAATCCTAAATTGGGTCCAAAATCATAGGACATGTCTTTGTGCAGAGCCGTGGAAAGACTGAATTAAGTAATGCAATTATTTTGTTTGGACGAAAGGCAAAATTTATTCTTGGAAAGGTGCCTCCTCCTTGCTATCGCACTCTGTGTTCCCTGAAAACATGCTCCTGAGTATTGAGGGGACCCTCCAGAATATCGTTCTGTACAGTGTAGGGAGGGAGATGCAACGGGGAGAGACGGATGGGAATCCAAGACAGCCCTTCCTTTTTTGTGCACCTGGAAGGGGCTTCCTCTCCACGCATCAGCACTGCAAGGTCCGAGCATTTGTATGTTGACTTTACATAAACCTGTAACAACTATGAGTTTAGGTCTGTCGGGCACCCAAAAAGAAAGTTTAATTTACAGTTTGAGTGACTTTTTAAAAAAATAATGGACAGCTTTGAATGCAGTTGTCACGTGTTACATATCGTAGAGCTGAGAACATTGAAAGTGAGCAAAAGAAAGATGGGATTCTGCCCTGGTCGTATTCAGTTGTACTTCTTTGGTACAGTGTATCTTGCAGTTGTGAGCTTAGCTCTGTCACTTGAGCAAGGCATCCGGTTTACTCACTTTTGCTCATCTTTAAATGTTTACTATTTCCCCTGGCTGAGAAGTGAGAATAAAGACTCTCTTCACTACCATCGCCACAGGGTACTTCTTGAAGTGCATGAAGACAATAGCAATTGATATGCTTGAAAGGTCACTTGGTCATGAGCATTCTATTGAGTGCCAAATGTGAATGTTGCAAGACAACATCCTGAACAAGTGGGTGAAAAGGTGGCGTTCACAGTTTTGCCTGTATACTTTAATGTAGCAAAGTTCATGGGTAAACAGGAATTAACGTTAAAAAAAATTCCAAAATATTTCCCCAAGAGGTCTGAGTACAAAGGCATTTCCTAACAGAATTTCTTAAGCTATGAAGGACACCTTGCTGAGTAGGCAGTTCCCTCTACCATGTTTACAGTCTCTCTTTCAAAAACAGCAGCCAGACAGTTGCTTAACTGGGCCCCCGGTCGCATGGAGCATTAGCCACGCTAGAGAGACGGAAGATAGGTGGGCGCGATCTCACCGCCACATCTGGGAAGCATAGAGCTCCCGTGGCTCAACCGAGGCTTCCCGCGGAAGATGCGCGGCAAAAAACTAGTACCTCGGAGGTACTAGTTTCCGGAAGCCGCAGGGCAAGGGCGGGCGTCTGATCGTGTTTCCCGCCCATGCCCCATTGCGAAAAGGGGTTTTCCCCCCGAGTTCTCCAGGGATGCGCACAAGCACCCAACGGGGCATGCGCATACTTCAGGTTAAAAAAACCAAAACACAACCCGGTTTGCCGCGCCGCTTCTTTGCCCCGTTGTGTGATCGGCACCTCCCCCCTAGCCACAGGACCTTGCCGGGACCGCGAGGGGACGCCTGATCACGCAATCGCGCGTTATTTCGCTGCGGGGCAAACAGCCATGCCTCCCCCCCGCGATATCCGGCCCGTGTGACCGGGGCCTGGAAAAACATGCTGGATTAACTTGAACACAACCAATGTTTGGGGGAATACCCACCTGTCCTCAGGCCATGGAAAAGTTTTGTGCTCACATAATTGGAGAACAGTATCAGTTTATGAGAAGAGATTCTTCTAGAAAAGGTTTCAGGTGCCACATCTTAATGTGAACTGTTGCAGCTGTGAAGTTTAAAATTCTGACTATTGTTTCAGAAGTTTAAATTTATGTTAATATTTGACATTTCAGCCAAGCATATTAGGTTGGGTCCTACCAGTCCGTTCCTCTGGAGCTGGCACTTGCCTGTGGCACAAGAAATCTTTTGCCAGCAGAGGAGATGTGTGTGTCTGCTGAATGCTCCTTGCTCTTGGGAAAATGCACCAGCATCAGAGGAATGGAGTAGTTGCATTCAACTGGTTGTCAGTAACCTATTAATATGTGTTGGGGTTATCAGCTTGCCCAAAGAATTTTATTGCTTTCAGTTTAGAACTAGCAGGTGGCTTCTACTTGTTGACTTGAATATTATTTAACCTGTGTGAGCTGTTGAATGTTTTTCTTCCCAGACCAGTGTGTTCATTCTGTTTTGTGTGCATACTGTGGCTGCTTGGGCTTCTGCCTGATAGCATCGCTTTGCTGAGTGTTACTAATGCCTAGTTGTTTTCCTTCCCTGTGGTGTGTGGTATTGGGGTTCATATCCTAGCTCTTCATACAGATACAGCAGCCGGACTCCTGATCCGCAGCATTCATTTGGTAACACAAAGGCTCAACGTGCAGTGGAGACAAGACATGAGCATCTCATTGGCTGCATTAGAACTTCTTTCTGGTTTGGCCAAGGTAAGTCCTGGGCAGTCTCTCTTCTTGTGACTCTTTGTTAGGCTGTGAGACTTGGCCTTAAACTCTCTGCCATTCTTAGCCATTGATTCCTTCCTGATAATATTGTGGAGGGTTTTCCCACTTCCTTAGGTAGGTGTTCTCTGTACACTTACCTGGGAACATGCCCTGTTGAATAAAGTGAGACTTATTCTGAGGAGGCACATATTGGGTTGCTGTCTTTAGTCAGGGAACATCTGAAGAAGAAGAAGAGATTGGATTTATACCCCGCCCTTCACTACCCAAAGGAGTCTCAGAGCGGCTTACAAACTCCTTTC